TATATATGTTGTAGTTTCATGTTTAAGACGTACGTTAAAAAAGGTTTTCAAAATTAATCTTATTAATTGACTTTGGTGATCAAATTCCTGACGAAAAATATGATTATCAGTATGAAATATAGTGTTTGAAAGAAGGCGTTCAGATTGACGTATTAAAACATGTAATATATTTTTAGTTTTAAATAATATGTGCTGATTAGATCTTAAAGTTTTTTCTGCTGTTTTACACACTACAATAACATTATGTGATGGTTGACATAAACTACCTCGATTTTTTTGCTGTAGAAGTTTGTCAGTACGATATACGAGGTCTGTCCCAAAAGTATCCGACCTACCTCCATTTTTCGGCGCTTGGCTTATTTTTCGTCATCCGGTTGGTGGCATCCTTCGAAGTAGTCCCCATTTGATTGAACAACACGCTCATATCGATGCTTCCACTTTCCAAAGCAGTCTTGAAAGTCAGTTATTGGAATCGCCTTTAGTGCATTCGTCGCATTGGTTTCAACAGTCTTCTTGTCGTCGAATCGGTGTCCTTTAAGCGGCATTTTCAATCGAGGAAATAGCCAAAAGTCGCAGGGAGCTACGTCGGGACTGTACGGAGGCTGGCGAAGCTGTACAAATTTAAATCAAATTTAAATTACAATAAGATTTAAATCATTTAAATCAATATTTTTCTTTTTCACACTAAACAATATTCAAACTTTTTACAACGTATGTTAACAATTTTATATTTCGTATTAATATTTGTAAAAACTTCAATATTTAATTACAATTTGAACATTTACATAAATATTTTTCTATTTCACATTAAACAATATTCAAACATTTTACAACATATATTAGAAATTTTATATTTCGTATTTAATATTTGCAAAAACTTCATTATTGTAATTTAAATTTGATCATTTAAATAAATATTTATGTATTTTGCAATATACAATATTCAAATTTGTTACATCATTTACTTCAATTCAATTTAACGAATGATTTCTTTAAATTAAAATGAATATTTCGGTACATCGTATGACTTTCGGGCTCTCTACTGTGCGCAATGTTCAATTAATTTCGAAGCAATATGCAGCTAAAGGTAGGTATTTTCATACTCTACAAGTTTCATATGAGTCATTTTTCGATTGCATGTGTCAGAAAAAAGACAGAAGCGGAAAACGCGCCGAACTCGGCCCGATGCGCGCCTCCGCCGTGGCTGCCATTTCGTGCCGCGGCGGAATGGGGAGCCTGCCTTCTATGGTCAATTTTTGACTAATCGAATCGAGTCACGGCTCATTTTCTTCGTCTTTTCAAGCTCTACAACTTTGTCTGAGGTCAAAAAATTGTATCTCTTCACCGAAACGAGATTATTGCGACAAACCATAAAAATTGCATTTTTCCCCCCCTTCAAACTGCATAAACTCGAAAATTATTGATTTTAGGTGGGGGGTCATCTATAGCAAAATTATAGAGCTCGAAAAAAGCTACAAAACGCGAGGTTACTCGTTTAATTTGGTCCAAAATTCGCGGAGTTATAGCGAAAAAAGCATTTTTTTCCTTCCCCCCTCCCCCCTTAAAAAAGCTCAAGGTCTCATGATACGACAACTTGAAAATAAGCTTTTCTAGACACCCCCTACACAAAGAAAAAAAATTTTGCGTTTCCCTTCACTTTCCGAGATAACCCCTTTTTTATGTCTAATTTTACTGTACTATATAATATTTTTCGAAAAGATGATTGGAACTGTTTGGCAGTAGGATTATTGTTCCAGCCATTCATTCGTCTAATTAGTGAAAACAAAGTTTCAACATGATCTTGCGACAGTTTATATGTTAGTAAAAATTGTATTTTCATTAAATAGCTCTTCCGCTAAAGCAATAATATTTTGTAAATCGATAATAAATCCAATAAATCCTATTTTTCGCTTACTTTGAAGTACAGAGGTATTTTGCATTTTTAAAGATTTAATGTACGAAATAAATTCATTAATTTTATCTTTTAGAATGAATAAATTATCTGTACACGCTTTACTTTAATTTTGATAAGTTTTGAATTCAATCTGTATGGCGCCAATAGTCATGCGTGGTGACACGTCTACGTTATGATTGGTTAGAGCGGTGGCGCTGAGCGTTATGTATGCAGGAGTGGAAAATCTTGTAATTCGTTATGAGTTGTAGTCGAGACCATAGGCCTGTTCTTTTTCTCTGCACTGTGCCCACAGTGCAATAAGTTGAAGTGAAACAGATATACGTTTGTTTCACTTCAACTTATTGCACTGTCTGAGCTGGTGCAGACAGTGCAGGCAAAAAGAACAAGCCTCATGATGTAAGTACATCATGGTCGAGACGTTGCAATCGTCACATGTACGATCGAGAGAACAAGTTATTATTTCGTTGTACAGATCTCTAATAAACATTATAATTGAGAAAACTGTAATCAAATAGAGAAGACAACTTTATTTTCATCCTGACGCCACAAGGCAATTTGTCAGAGAAAAAGCGCGTACACATACGCAACAGATCACACGATCTTAGCGGTTACATGGTCCTTTTCGAGCCGGATGCACGGCCATCGTGGATTCGGGCAAGCAAAAGAGCACTCAGAGATACTTGTACACAGGTATATGAGTGCACATTAAGATAAACGTACAATCAAAACGCTCAACAATAAGCATAGAAGGTCTGTATCATATATAGGTTAGTATCGATAAATTTGCGATACGTAACAGTTTCTTGTGTGGCAACAGCCATATTTTTCATTTGTCCAGAGTGGGGAGTGGCACTATACATATCGGTTTTTTCACAAGAATAGCATTCCATACGTAACATGCCGACGTTAACCTTAACTGAATCAAAATACAAACGGTCTCAAATAAAGGCTGCCGCGACGCGATTAAAAAATTATGTAGATGAATTTAGTACAGAACGGGGATCGCGATACGATATTGTCGAACGAAAACAGAAACTATCTAGTCTTTGGAATCAATTTGATGAGATTCAAAGTAGTATAGAACATCTCGAAAATGCCGACTCTTCGGTTAGTGATCAGAAAGCACTATTTGAGCAGCAGCAAATTCAACGCACGAGTTTTGAATCAGCATATTTTGCGCTCATGTCTAGATGTGAGCAAATACTCGAACAATTTAGCAACTCAGATATACAAACATCAGTTCAAAGTATACCGTCAAGTGATCGTAGAGACACGCGAATTCGTCTTCCGAAAATTGATTTACCAGTGTTCTCTGGTGCATATGAGGACTGGTATTCATATCAAGATACGTTTGAAAAATTAATACATGTTAATCCTAGTCTTACAGATATCGAAAGGTTTCATTATTTAAGATCGTGGTTAAAGGATAAAGCGGCGGAGGTAGTAAAATCCATTGAGACCACGACGGATAATTATCATGAAGCGTGGAATGCAGTAAAAGAGAGATTCGACAATAAGAGATGGATCGTCCGAAAACATATTAAGGCAATATTTGATGCACCCGCTGTTATGAAAGAAAACCATGTGGCTTTGCGGGATTTACTGGATACCATTCTCAAAGACGTAAGAGCACTCAGAGCACTCAAGCGGCCAACAAGTGAATGGAGCGACCTCCTCATTTACATTATTGTCTCGAAGCTTGATAGAGCAACCACCAAGGCATGGGAAACGAGCCTCGTAGATTCTAATATTCTCGAGTTAAAAACATTAATATTTTCTATCAAAACGTTGTCAAGCACTTGAAGCGGTAAATAATCGAGCGAATAATGCGCAATCCAATAGCGTCAATCAAAAACAAGGTAACAAACATAAAGGTATGCCAGTGGCAAGCGTCGCAACTGTTAATTCGTCTTGTTTTTTCTGTAAAGAAAGCCATCAATTGTATCACTGCGAAAATTTCCTTAAACTATCAATCGATGAACGCATTAAGTTTATAAAGAAATCTCTGTATGAATTGTTTAAAATCGACATCGCACCAAGCGAAAGCATGCAACTCAGGTTCTTGCCGTAAATGTAACAACAAACATAATACTTTGCTACATTTATCTTCAGTAAATAATTCAAATCAATCACAAACTTCGAAACCAGATTCAGGCCAATCTGAGCAGTCTCAGGCTGCTTTCCTTTTAAGAGACACAAATCGACACAGTATAACACACTCGAACACAGTTTGCCACACTTAAGGGGATCCTTAACGGATCTTACACACAGACGATTACGTGTCATTGACACATCACTACATCAATATTTTACTCACGTACGCCACACATATACGTAGATTTTTGTATCGTAATTATGTTTTAATTAGACATCTAAATCTAATTTTAAGAACTCCACGCTGTTTCTTCATGCAAACTACGTGCCTATAAACTACTATTTCTTAAGTATAGATTGCGCAGCTTTTATATAAAACAAATATTGTTACGACGTGCAACGACGTGACAGCTCTGGAGCGCCATATTGGACTAAAAAATGGTAAAGAAGAACTCAATTTTGAAATTTTGTATCGTTTTCAGCATAGATTCTACCTCACAGGCACGTATTAATGCGTATACTTTAATTCTGTAAAAGGATTTTCGGATCTGTGAATGACAAAAAAAGTATTTACAATACAAAAATTATACGATTTAGTCGGTAATACAGGAGGCTTAAGGTCCCCTTAAATGGAACGCGATATGTGCAGTGTGTGTATAGTGTGTACGAACTTTTAATACCTAACCATAACAGATTTGAATTTTGATCTTAATAGACGCATAAGATTCGATTATTGCAAGGAGTGCGTTCTAATATCACTTAATTGTCTTAATTCATCAAAATCACACTTGAATAGACTCGAAACACACTCTAAGCCCGGATCCTCATACGGGCAACAGCGTTTTGACACCAAACGCTGATTGGTGAAAAACCGGTGGCGAGGGTAAAATTTACCCCTATAACCCGTTTTTCACCAATCAGTGTCCGGTGTCAAAGCGCTGTTGTCCGTATGAGGATCCGGGCTAACTCTCCTCCCGAGCAGAGGCGAAGTATGTCGATTGAGTTTGAACAAAATTGTAAATGGAAAGCGACATGTGTCGATTTGTGTCAAGTGTGTCGACTGTGTCTCGTAAAAGGAAAGCAGCCTCAGTTACCAGTATCAGCACAATGTGTATCAAGTCATCTCTCTTCAAGTGTTTTACTGTCCACAGCAGTCATTTACATATACGATTCGGTTAAGCAAGCATATCCATGTAGAGTTTTACTTGATAATGGTTCACAGATGAATTTTATTACGCAGGAACTTGTGAATAAGTTGAAAATTGAAGAGAGACCACTTGAAATCACAGCATCATGCGTGATGGAAGAAATGGTGCATGCAAAACACGTGGTTAGTGTATGTATAAAATCGCATTTCAATAATTTTAGTAAGCGTATTGAATGTGTTGTAATCCCAAGAATCACTCAGCCATTACCACAGCAAATAGTACCTAGCCAAAGTGTAATCATTCCAAAGAACATAAAATTGATAGATCCCAATTTTCGTATGCCAGCAGATATTGATATGTTGGTGGGGGATGAGCTATTCTTCAGGATACTTTGCGCAGGACAAATTGTACAAGCTAAAAACAAGCCCATTTTACAGAAAACTCAATTCGGTTGGATTGTGTCCGGTCCGACAATGAGTACTAACGCTGATTCAGTGATGTCAGTTAATCACCATATTACATTACTGGATGACTTAAATTATAAAGTCAGTAGGTTCTGGGAAGTAGAGCATAATATTGCCAAACCTCAATGGTCAGAAGACGAAAGGGCATGCGAACGAACATTTTTGGAAACTGTGAAGCGAACTGAAGAAGGAAGATTTACTGTAACATTGCCAGTCAAGCCTGATCAATTAAGTAAATTGGGAGAATCACGAAAAATAGCCATGCAGCGTTTTGAGTCCCTTGAACGTCGTTTTGCTTCCCAACCGAGTCTACATGAAAAATACAAGAATTTTATAAAAGAATACATTACATTGGGACACATGCGAGAAGTAACCAATGAGCAGACATCTAGTACAGGCATCTCACCAGTTTATCTACCACATCATGCAGTGCGAAACGAAGCGAGCACAACAACTAAGCTTAGAGTAGTGTTTGATGGCTCCTGTAAGACCACGACAGGGATTTCTTTAAATGATACTTTGATGGTAGGTCCAACAGTGCAAGATGATCTATTCTCAATTTTAACACGAAATCGTATTTTCAAAATAGCCATGACAGCAGATATACGCAAAATGTATAGACAAGTGTTATTAGATCCCACTCAAACAGCCTTGCAACGCATTGTATGGCGTGATACCAAGGAGGATCCTATAAAGATTTTCGAGCTGATGACGGTGACTTACGGAACTGCAGCAGCACCTTTCTTTGCGATAAGGTCTTTGAGAAAACTCGCTGAGGATCACATCAATCAATATCCAGTAGCATCTCAGATTACCTTGAGAGATTTTTACGTAGATGATTTGGTAACTGGAACAGACTCACTGGAAGAGGCATCATATTTGAAGAATGAGCTGATTCAACTTTTACAGGAAGGTAAATTTGAATTGCAAAAATGATCCTCTAACAAACCAAGTCTTCGAGACCACTCAAATACGGTAGATCATAAGGAATTCATTTTGAATAGCGACAAGAATACAGAAACAAGGACTTTAGGTATTGTTTGGGATTGCACCAATGATTCTTTCAAATTTTCCAGTTTTGGTACGCTTCCACCATTGGAGAAGCCTACTAAAAGAAGCGTTTTGTCACGTAGCTCATTGAGTTTTGACCCCCTTGGGTTACTTGGACCAGTGACAGTAGTAGCCAAAATCATATTGCAGAATTTATGGCGTCTCCAACTGGATTGGGATGAATCTTTTCCATTGGATATTGCTACGAAGTGGAAGCGTTACGAACGTGAACTACAAGAGATTAGAAGCCTCAAGATCCCTCGTTGGGTTATTGCGGTGGACCAGTACATTCGTTTGGAATTGCATGGGTTCGCAGATGCCAGTGAAACCGCCTATGGGGCATGTATATATGTGAGAGCCACTTCCAGCCAGGACAAACACTCAGTAAAACTACTGTGTTCCAAGTCAAGAGTTGCACCTCTGAAAAACTTATCCTTACCTCGATTGGAATTATGTGCTGCTCTATTATTAGCTCAATTAGTCGACAAAGTATCAAAATGTCTTACATGCAAGATCGACAAGACAGAGTTGTGGACTGATTCCACGATTGTCTTAGCATGGCTTCAAGCATGCAGCCGTACATGGGCCACTTTTGTTGCAAATAGAGTGGGAGAAATCCAACAACTAACTCCCATTCAATATTGACATCACATTAGAAGTGAAGAGAATCCTGCAGATCCTTTGTCACGAGGCGTTATGCCTGGAAGTTTGGCTAATTTAGACATCTGGTGGTCAGGACCTAGCTGGCTTTCGCTCGACAGGGATCAGTGGTCACAAAGCAGCGCATCAATTCAGACAATCGAGGTACCTGAGAAAAAATCTAAAGGTCTAGTTACTGTGACAACACAAGGTGAGGAATTTGATATATTCCATCGATATTCCACATTATCCAAACTCATTCGTGTTGTAGCGTATATTCTACGTTTTGTAAGAAATACAAGAAAGATCAATGGATCTCTGAAGTCTTTAACAGTTGCGTCAAAAGAAGTAAGTTGCATTATTCCACCAATTACAGTCAATGAGCAGCATAATGCAACGTTATTACTTGTAAAGTTAATTCAAAGTACTTACTACGCAAAGGAACTTAGTTCATTCAGCAAACAGGGTGCTATAAACAAAAACAGTCCTATCTTAAGGCTAAATCCGTTCATAGATGATGCAGGTGTCTTAAGAGTAGGAGGACGATTAGAGGCATCAAATCTATCATATGCAGCGAAACATCCTATATTGTTACCCAGTCACTATCCATTTTCACATCTGATAATTAGTCATGAACATGAGAAGAATTTTCATGCTGGTGCTCAAGCCACGTTAGCAGCCACACGTCAAAGATATTGGATGACATCTGCACGAAACATTGTGAGGCAAATTGTCCAACGATGTATAACTTGCTTCAGAAGCCTGCCTCAACTATTATGGGTAATTTACCCAGCTCGCGTATAACCACGTCTCATCGAGTTTTCGAAAGATGCGGAGTAAATTACGCTGGACCCCTTTATCAATTTCGTCGGAGCAGAAAGAGAATTGAATGAGCTATCAGCTCTGCTCACTGATAAGAAAACACAGCAACAAGTATCAGATCAAGCCTCTAAGCATGGCATACAATGGCACTTTATTCCGCCTCGCTCTCCACACCATGGAGGACTCTGGGAAGCTGCGGTCAAGTCGGTAAAGCAACATTTAAGGAAACTAACAAAGGATGCCCACTTGAGATTCAAAGAACTGGAAACGCTTCTTATACAAATCGAAGCCATCTTGAACTCACATCCAATAACGCCATTATCTTCTGATCCAAGAGACTTAAGAGTTCTAACTCCTGGTCATTTTATCATAGGATCACCATTGACAGCATATCCAGAAGAATCGATCGATGCTATACAAATAAATCGTCTCTCACGATGGCAACACGTTTAACGATTGAAGCAACACTTTTGGAAACGTTGGACGCGAGAATATTTGCATCAACTCTAACAAAGAAGCAAGTGGAAGACGGAGGAGTCAACCATCAAAATAGGTCAAATGGTGATTTTAATTGAAGACAAACAACCACCATTATCGTGGGTTTTAGGTAGAATACAAGATGTTCATATCGGTGATGATGGAATAGGCCGTGTAGCTACAGCCTATACTACCAAGGGAACTTACAAACGTCCAATTACGCGATTATGCCTACTTCCCATAGAACCGAATGATCTTATAACTACAGTTATTAATTCACATTATAGCAGTAACAACAATGAATCAGAGTTACTAGACATTGTATGTCCTATTAAATTATTTTTACTTTGTATATTGTACGCTAGCAATTTTAGAAGATTATGTTTTATATTGAAAGGTAAGCCTTTCAAGGCCGGCGGCATGTACACGCTTTACTTTAATTTTGATAAGTTTTGAATTCAATCTGTATGGCGCCAATAGTCATGCGTGGTGGCACGTCTACGTTATGATTGGTTAGAGCGGTGGCGCTGAGCGTTATGTATGCAGGAGTGGAAAATCTTGTAGTTCGTTATGAGTTGTAGTCGAGACGTTGTAATCGTCACATGTACGATCGAGAGAACAAGTTATTATTTCGTTGTACAGATCTCTAATAAACATTATAATTGAGAAAACTGTAATCAAATAGAGAAGACAACTTCATTTTCATCCTGAGGCCACAAGGCAATTTGTCAGAGAAAAAGCGCGTACACATACGCAACAGATCACACGATCTTAGCGGTTACATTATCTCTAGATATTGCTTTTTTCATTTCTGTTTTAGCATATAAATTTTTTGAATTCAGTAAATCAAATATGAAATTAAAAATTTTACAAAATATCGCGGTTCCTTCAGCTCCAACAAATTGAGGAAATTTTAAATCATGTTCCAAAAACTGAAGTGCATCATATACCGACATACTGAGCACTTGCTCTGCTAAACTGACTTTCATCTTTTCATTTTTAAAGTAAATATGTCTGTTGCTAACTTTAACTGCAGGATGTAATTTTTCTTCGTTTTGTAAGAAAACTAATTGTTTAACATACTTCCAACTAATTGTTCGATCGTCGTTATCAGTTAAATCATATGTAGCAATAGTATTCCTAACAAGCTTGATCATATGGCACGCGTCACAAAAAATTCTAATACGTTTACATTCATTAGTGGGATGATCAAAATATGGAACATTGTTTTCAATGTCAGTTGATTTCAAATGTGCACCTAATTCTTGGCACATTGATATATTTGAAGCTGCTCCATCAAATGTGATACTAACAACATCTATGTTATTTTCATAAAGTGCACATAAAGCGGTTTTTAATAACTTTGCTTTCTCATGACCGTTTAATTGATCAGTGAAGTAATATGCAATTGGAAGTTTAAATTTATCATTTATGGCAACCAAGAAGACTAGAACCAGGAGAGTAAACTAGCGTGGTGGGGGTAGGTCAAAAAACGTCCGCGGTTATTCATTCAATGCGCAGTGGCATTGCACATTGAATGAAAGTTTGCGCATGCGCGCGTCGGTTATAACCAAGAAGTCTTGTTCTTAATCTTTGCGTTATCAAGAAGTCTTCTTGGCGTTATATAGCCCAAAAAGGTTAGGGCTAAAGACGCTTTATTTTCCCCTCATCCGAGGGACACACTTAAAAAAGAAAAAAATCTTCTAAAACCATCTTAAACAGAATGTAAGTTGTAAAAAGAAATTATACTGTATATTAAATAACTTTGTAACGATGCCCCCTAGAAATAGGCATCGTACCCGGCACAAACACCTAGCCGGCTGCCGTCGCAATGACCGGTGGTCATTAGCAACGATGAGGGCGCGGTGCGCCCGAATATATTTTGAACCAAATCAAACATAATTCGCAGGGACAGCAGCCGCCGCTATAACCGCCAGTCTCGCCGGAAAGGGCCGACCGTCG